CACCTCTCCAAAGGCGTCTCCCTGCAGCGTTTCCATCTTGTCAAGGCTGCCGGAGTGCGACTCGTGCGTCGCACACTGGCACAACCAGTCGCTCCTCTTGTCGTATGACCGATCATCAGGCTGCTTCCGAATGGGCCGCCCCGCTCCGCGTTACAATCAAGGATTCCGGGCCTCAAGTCACCTTTGTGATGTTTCCTAAAACAGTGTCTCAAAAGTTCATTATTGTAATTTTTTTAATGCGATACAGACGGTGTTCATTACCTGCTTGCTTTGCTGCTTTCTGACACAAAATACAATTGCAGGAAACGGAGTGAATGTTGGCATGTGCCAAGAAATGGAGATTGTATTCCTTTTGTCTGCACGCCGCTTCACCCTTTACCAACGGTGAATAAGAACACGGCATAAACGCTCCGGTCCCGCTCTTGTTTCCTGTCCTCAGGGGCTTGAGAGAGACGAGTTGGAGGAAAACATCATCCCCCTTGACTCGCAGAGCCAAAACACACAGTCTGAATAAGCTGCTTTTATGGGAGACATGCACGCTTCAATCCGGCAGATTCCTGCAATTAGTCGAGGCATGAAGAGAGCATATGTAAAATTCCAGCAGAGGATATTCAGGGTTGGCTTCGGCGGTTTCGAAAATACCACGGCAGCTAAACGTTAACCGGGACCGCCAAAATTCTGGGATTTGTCCAAAGCATCAATCCACGAGGTGTTACGGCTTTGCAACTCTGGACAGGTTTGATCTGTTTTCTCCTCAATCTGTGCTGAGCCCCGGCGTACTTGCCAGGAGGATATTTGGTTTCACCGTCTGGGACCCTCAGATAAATATTCACAGTGTAAATTATGTCCTGTTCTGTTTTGTTTTGAGGCGCTGGGGCGAGAAAGGTAGATATGGTACAGTATGCAGCGCTCAATGGCAGGAAGTGGCCCTTCACGACTGCCGAGTGGTATCACGAGGCGTCAGGTTAAACAAGCACAACATCCCAATCCTCTCATTTTGGGACAAAACAACGGCTTTTCTTAAAGCCGTGCCAAATTAAAGGCCGTCAGACGTCTTTGTCGTCTTATCTATTTGGACATTTAGATTGGCGCACTCGGTTGTGGTGGCTGGACCAGTTTAGGTGTGACCGGGTAATCGGTCACATGTAAAGTGCATACATCCCCACATACAAACTGTGTGTCATGCCTATTTGTACATGTTTCTCTAGTTCTCTGTATATATATATATATATGTGTGTGTGTGTGAGACAGGGGGAGGGGGGGGTATACATGCACCCTTTGATCCTCAGTCAGGACAGGGACAACGCCTTCCGTTTCCTCTCTTGTAACATCTCAAACACACGTTGCAATCCATGACTGCGCCTCCACACTTTGGGAGTGACCACAGAGTTGATGACGGTGGTTGAAGGTTAAGGCAACATTGCGTTCATGCCACATGCGTCAGATATGCCCACTTTTGTTTTTGTTGGACAGCGTCTGGTAGAAGTAACCCTAAACCTGCAACCTCTGAATGTTCAAATCATGAGGACATGACTGAAGGTGTTCAATTTAAAGATATTCTATGTCTCATGAACATGATTGGCATTATTTTTATTTTTTGAAACACACAGACACACGATCAGAGGTGCAAGGCGGTCTCCAATTGGCCATGTCACATGCACGGCTGATGACATCATCCGCAAGGGGAGAGCTTGCAGTTTACCTGCCAATCTCATGCATGGACCCCAATGAGTCTTTTTCTGTTTCGGCAACGTGGAGCAAGTTCAACCGATTTTGATACCAATGAGGGTCCAGATTAGCATTAGCTAAGCGCGTAATCAGTGCTCGCCTGACATCACGAGTTGCCATGATAGTGACCGGATAGTGGTCATTCCTTAGAACCGTGTTTCAATCTCTTTTAACGCGTAACTTAATACCTTATTGGAACTATCTATCCTTTTTCCTTTTTTTTGTCTCTCGGCCACGAAACAACCATTTTGAACAATTACTTCCATCTCAAACTGCACTGCACTGCGGTCGTTTAGGGCCCCAAACACAACATTTTCTGTTGGGACTGACAACCTTCCGCACTCACATTCCAACTGTCCCTTACTAGGGATTGAACCGACACAGTCCGCGCAGAGTTTAGACGAGCGAACGGTCCGTTCAAATCGTTGCCACGGAAACAGCCGACACCAAACTTAACCAAAAGGGCACATGAATCACTGCAAAAGAAAGTTAAAGTGACCATTTTTGGTGTGGGCGAAACAATCTCCAGACACGCCTGGAACTGGCTTAACTCAGCGTGGGCATTACCCATCGACATCAGTCAAAATATTTACGAAGACCGGAGCGGCCTGGCTTTGTGTCGCCAGGCTGGGTTCCGACAGAGATTACGCAGAGCCGTTGGGCCACCTAGCAACCCTCTATCTAGCGCTCCCAGTTCAAATGAAAACATTCAAGTGGTTATTTTGCTTGCGCCCATTGAACAAAGAAATCTCTTCCCTCGCATGGCTGGCTCACATCCCCTCCACCCTATTGCATCCCACCACACCCACTTTTATGAGGGAGGTATTGAATTAGAATCGGAGGCCACTTGCTGAATACGTCCGTGTGTCATACACAGACGGAATCGCGCTCACGTTCCAAGCTTGGGTGTTCGACTTCATCGAGAAAATAATTTCCATATGAGAGTCATTATTCAGTGACAAGGGGAGGGCGGTTGCTCGCATTCCAAGCCTCTCAACTGACCACACATCACATCAATGAAGAATGAACCAATGCAAAACCCGTTGACATAATTCGGTTCTCATCACATTTGTCTCTCTATGACCTTTTAAGTGGAGGAAGTGAGTCTATTCGGCGTGCGGTACTTCCCCTTCTGGGTCCACTCACGTGAAAAAGGCGACACCGAGAGATGTCGGGGGACACCGAAGAGGTGAAAACAATGTTGACAAATTTAGACTGACAATGCAAAAATGAGTGCTCACTTCCTTGGCTATTACTGTTACCAAAGGGGATATGAGTGTACAATTTTCCATCATATTCCTGAAGCCGTTTATCCTGTAGGATACCAAACTTTGGATACCAAGTAACACCGAAGGAAATACTTTTGCCGTCCAAGTACCATCACGACGATCAGCAGTCAAATACAGTCGCATACCAGACCGATTCATTTTTCGATCGCAATAAATGATATTTCATCATCTGCGGCATTAGGCACAATTTGAACATTAACACTGTACTAAAAGATAGGGGGGAACAATTGCACCAAAATAATGATTCAATTCAAATCTATTGCAGATAAAATTTGAATATTGATTGATGGAATTCCATCTTTCAAAAGGTGATGTAAAAACTAGTGGTACGACACTTTGAGAATTGCTGCTTGGGGGCTTTGAGGGTATTTTGCTTTTACTGAAGTACAGGACTTGAATCAGACTGTACTTCGTTTCCCTGTGTTTTTTTTTTTTTTTTGCGTGTGCGTGTGTTTTGCCACCTCTGGGTAAATAGGAGATGCGACCAGACAAGTCACTGTCCTCTCATGAAACGATCATCACTCATGGTGAAAGTATGCGTGCGGGTGTGTGCGTGCGCGCGTATGTGTGTGTTAATGAGCCAGTATGTTCGTGATAAGGCTTTGGAGCTGCGGGGGAAGGGTTGAGCAAGCGGACCCACCAGAACTGAACTTCCTTCCTGTGCTGCTCGAACTGGAGAGCGACGTGCTTTTATAAATGGACGCTGCAATGAGGGGCTTCCAGTCTCGGGGGGAACTTCGCATCGTCCAAGGCGGCCAGCCGTCGTCCTTTTCACCGTCTCCATAATCTCCTTCGAGCATCGGGGCACCATGATCGCTTTCCTCACTCGCGCGCTTCTCCTCTGCGGGCTCCAGGGAACGGTTCTGTCTCTGCGCGGACATTGCACAGACACGCAGTGTTACGCGCTTTTTGAGGGGCAAAAAGACTTTCGGGGAGCGCAGAAAAGCTGCCGAGATTCCGATGGAGATTTGTTGTTATTCCTCGACGCGGAAGCGCAGGGACACTTGCTCGCCGGCCTCAGCGGGAGTTTTTGGTTCGGGACTTCTCGGACGGTCAGTGGCGCCCCGAACTGCACTTCGTGCACGGTGTGGGTGGGAAGCAACCTGACGATCGAGACGACGCCGTGCGGCGACAAACTCGCCGGGTACATCTGCCAGTACCCCAACGCGGACCCCTGCGGCGCCATCCCCGTCGAGGGAGACGCCAAGGTGACGTACGCGGCGCCGATGGGCTTCGAGGTGAACGCCACTTCCCTTCACTTCCCTCGCGGAACGGTCGCGGAGGAGGGCAAGGCGGGCGCCTTCCACCCGGTCGCCAAGTATTTGTGTTTCGAAGCGAGTTGGCTGAAAGCTCCGTGGAACTGCGAGGTGATGGAAGGCGGCTGCGACGAGCGCTGCAACTCCACCTCCGGCTCCTGCGAGTGTTCGGTGGGAACCTACCTCCACGCCAACCTCATCACCTGCAGCTATGACCCGTGTGACCGTTGCGCGCACCTGTGCGACGCCGCCACCCAGGAGTGCGCTTGCCACGTCGGCTACGCGCTGGGCCCGGACGGGAAAAAGTGCGCGGACGTGGACGAGTGCAAGCAGCTGGACGTTTGCGCATCGGAGGGAAAAGAATGCGTGAACACGCACGGGGACTACGAGTGCAGGTGCAAAGACGGTTTCGAGGAGGAGGAGGAGGAGGGAGAGGGCGCGTGCGTGGACATGAGGATCTGTGACAAATGTGAGCACATGAATTGCGTCAAGTCCGACGGCGTGTACGCATGCGCGTGTCGCGAGGGGTTCAGAGTGTCCCCACTCGACCCCACCAAGTGCGAGATGTCCTGCGATCAGCAGGACTGTCTGGCCAACTGCATCCCAAATCCCGACCTGGAGGGGAAGGACATGCATCAGTGCTTCTGCCCCGAAGGTTACGTCCAAGACATCCGGAACAACACCGCCTACTGCACTGACATCGACGAGTGTGCGAATCGGAAGGAGTGTGAACACACGTGTGAAAACCTCTTTGGGAGTTTTGTGTGTCATTGCAACGAGGGCTACAAGTTGTTCGACGAGTACATGTGCATCCACCCGGACGAGGAGGGATGGAGACCAGCGGATCCCACGCCAGCCCCGCCGCGTCCGGCCTCGTTGCCGACTTACGTGAAAGCGGGCAGCGTGCTCGGCATCACCGTGTTCCTCTTGCTTTGCCTGCTGCTGCTCTACTTGCTGGTCAGGAACTTGGCCAAACGTTGCGGCAGTCTTGAGCTTTCCTCCCTCAAAGGGCCCGACATGGATATCTTCTACCTGCAGCAAGTCACCACGGAGACATACAAGCGGTTATCTTTTGACAAACAGTCCAAATGGGACTCGCAGAGACTTTAACCGCAACACCGTTGACCCTCCCGAAGACCAGGCACGTGCACGGATAGACGAAGAATGGCGCTTAGGCAGCCGCCATTTTGCCTGGCCTGGCCCTGGCCTTTGGTTTTTCTTGAAGGTGGTATCCCACTGAGCGAAAACACTCGTACGCGGATATCAGCTTCAGTCATCGACATTTCAAAACGAAACGCTGTATTCATCATTCTGTGTCATCCATCAATCACAATAGTGTTTTGATATGACGACGATGATATGATGAAATCGGTTTATAGGCTATGTTGATTGTGTTAACAGAATTATTACTCAGTTGAATACTTCTGCTAATCCCTCACCTTTTTTTTTTTTTTTTAAATTGTGTGACCAATTTTAGCAGTGGGTGGGTTTTTTATTTTTTTGCTTGAGCACCTTCCCCCGATATGTCCGCCGCGCACATGCCTGCAACAACGGGAACATGCTACCAAAGCAACAGATGACGCAACAGATGTAAACAGCCATTGGCGCTCACGAAACTAAAACACTATTTTGTTGTTCTTTGAAATGGAAAACGGAGTTCATGTCCAGGAATTTGTTTGCCATATGGTCGGCTGATTTTCCTTCCAATGTTCATGTCCCGGAGTGAGAAAGTCTCTCGATTGTATCTTTTAATCCTTAATAGTTCAAATCGATCAAATATTAAGGTACTAAAATCTATCTACACTCGGCACAACGGCAGTCAGTCTAGTTAAGTTCTCCACCAAGGCATCCGAACCGGTTAAGAATTTGCCGTCGCTGTCCAACTCAAAATTTGGAGATGCAATGTGAGCTTTTCATTAGACAATGTTCGGGCTGCATTGAGAAATTCAGGAACTTGTCAAGAAATCTTGCATTCAATCCGCAACACAATACAAAGGTCATAGAAGTGAAACAACTTCCTCTTTATCAAGTCATAACGGTAGAGCGCAAAAAAAAAAAAAAAAAAAAAAAAAAATCATCTCATGCAACTCAATTCGATATCTTTGTTGTCGGCTAAGGCACAAATTAAGTAGAATCTAGTTTTCTATGCGTGCCCTTGTCTGATTTAGCGTCTTCAAAAGCTCGCCGGGTCCCACTAGTTTGTGATCCGGGAAAGGTTGTTTTCTGGTAGGTTTTTTTTATGGTTTCAAAGCAGGAACTCGAGTATGATCAGGACTTCTCTCAACAACAATACAATAGCACTGTCTTTAAAAAACACTAAGCTAACATAGGACAATTACTGTAAGTACATCTGTGGTCAGTATTTGATACTCGCAGTATCGACAGGATTTTTTTTTTCATGCTGTTCTCTGTGTAAAATACTACTTACCGGCCACTTAACAACACTGAAACCGACACTTGTAATTATAAAGTGTGAAATTCATGATTACCTCTTTGAAAATGTCATTTTGATTCTGAAAATGTACCCGATGGAGCAGCTGATGAGTGTCAAATTGTGTTGCAATTTGATAGACATTCCACTTTTGTATTCTCGGTGGAACTCTGCATTTTATTCAGACACATCGCTGTCCAAAAGACTTTGAATGTAGAAACTGTGCTGCTATGAGCTACATAAAGGCTGATGTAAAACAACAACGGCACCTCATCGTTATTTGCCCGGAGTTATTATAAGGAAGCCAATTTTCCTGAAAAACAACAGGGGGATGGAGGGGGGGGGTCACATGAATGTCCAGTCTTTTCAGGCGGATTGTTTTGAAAACATTGTAGATGTGACTTTGTTTAAAAATAGGTGTAAGTGCTAATATAAAAATCCCTGCTATTACTATTACATAATATATGTGATTAGCATACTAACAATGTCCACGATGATTATTCTGTTGCAGCCAACACGACGTAATAGCAGGACCCAGTTGTCAACGAGTGCAGTTTTGCATCACTAGTAACATGTAGGTATCCGAAACGCAGAACTTTTATGATACTTTTTGTCGCTTTTTAGTAGTGAGGGGAAAGCCACGATATGCCTCAGTCTGAATTTTAAGGCTCTCAAATAAATAGCTCACATTACGGCTCCTCATATTACGGCTTTCCATATAACGGTGCAGGCTCCGCTCACTGGGAGGGGCAACTGCGACAAAGGGGGGAGTGCGTAATTTACGGCCGTGGTCTTCGAGGGCGTTTGAGAGGGAGAAAGTTTCTTTGGAAGACCAGAGAGCGCCCTCGAAAGCTGCTTAAGAACCACTTCCTTCCTCTGCTCGGTCGCCAACATGGAATGGGGAGATTATAAATGCGAGCCGAGCGCTTTTTCCAACAAACGCGCGTCGTGGCTGCAGGGACGCGCGCCCCAATGAACGCGAGGTCGTGTTCGAATATGAAGGATGCCGCGGGATTGTTCGTTGCCGTGCTTGCCGTCCTGGTGGGGAGACTCGGCGGGACCGAGCCGGACGGCGGGCTCTGCGTTGAGAGAAGCTGTTTCGCAGTCTTCCGTCACTCGGGAGACTTTACAAGCGCGCAGAGTCATTGCGAAGAACGAAATGGGCACTTAATGACCGTGAGTTCGTCCGAGTCACGTGATGTACTCGCTCAACTTTTGAGGAACTTTTCGGGTCGATTCTGGATCGGTTTGCATCGTTCGACCGGCTGCCCCAACGCGACGTCTCCCCTTAAGGGCTATGAGTGGACGGCGAAAGACGCACAAGGCGATTTCGCCAACTGGGCTCCCTCGTTCGACGGCAGCTGCTCCTCTCCACGCTGCGTCACAGTTTCCGAAGTGGACCGGCTCCAGTGGGTTCAGGAGCCGTGCGACGCGCCGGTCACCGGCTTCCTGTGCGAGTACCACTTCGCGTACTCGTGCAAGAGCATCATGATCGACGGGGAAGCCCCGGCGTACGACACCCCCTTAGGTTTCGGGGGAGGGGATCTGCACTCCCTGCCGCCCGGAAGCATCGCCACGCTGACGCCGAGCAAGCGCAAGTTCGTGTGCTACGAGTTGTGGGTGGAGGCGCCTTGGAGCTGCGAGATCCTCGAGGGGGGCTGCGAGCACAAATGCGCCATGAATGACGATCACGAGCCGTCGTGCTCGTGCCCGCCCGGCCTCTCCATCAACCCCGTGAACCAAATCACGTGCGAGGCGGACGCGCTGGACCAGTGCGCGCGTTTACTGTGCCAGTACGCCTGCTTGGAGGGGGAAGACGGCGCGCACGCCTGCGCGTGCGACCACGGCTTCACTCTGGCACCCGACGGTCGGTCTTGCGTGGACTTCAACGACTGCTCGGACGAGCGACAGTGTCCCGGGGAGAACACCCGCTGCGTCAACACCGTGGGCGGCTTCAAATGCGAATGCGAGGGCGGGTTCAAACTAACGGACGGATCGTGCGTGGATCACAACGAGTGCGCGTCCGCCCCGTGCGAGCACATGTGCGACAACACGCCCGGGAGTTACAAATGCTCCTGCTACGGCGGATATCGAGTGGACCCGCTGGACACGAGCAAGTGCGAGCTGCACTGTGGCAAGGAGGAGTGCGTCGCGGAATGCGACCCCAACGACAAGTACCAGTGCTACTGTCCCGACGGCTACATCGCGGAGGAGAGAGAAGACCACACCGTGTGCATCGACATGGACGAGTGCGGCGACTCGTACTGCGACCATGGCTGTCGGAACACTTACGGCAGTTACGTTTGCTCTTGTCGGAAAGGATTCACGTTGGTCGATGAGGTGTTTTGCGTCAGAAACGAGGACGAGGATGAAGATGCGGATGGCTCGGGGGAGGCTGCGACCACTCCAAACGCTCCCACGGTGACGCCGCACGAGGTCGCTCCAACTCGGCAGCCGTCGGCGGTGACGGTCGGCGGGCTGGTGGCCATCATAGTGTGCTGCGTCCTCGTGGTGGTGGTGGTGGTCTTTTTGTCTCAGCACATCCTGAACAAAAGGGGAAAAGTGGAGCGAGGGGCCGCGTCTAAAGCCCCGGACGGAGGGGAGACGCACAGTTTACACGGGATGGGGAGCGAAGCTTAATTAAAAAGAAAAAGGACATTGAAGAAAGCATGACATGTGAATGTAGAGCCAAGGATCCCACCCCCCCACCTCGCCCAACCCTTCAAGAAAACCCACTTTAGGACTATTTTAATTTTGGCAACGGCCGCAAGCACTGATGGGAGGAAAACGCCACGGCCAAGAAAACAAAAAGAGGGACAGTATTTACCCACAAGACGTGCACAGAGAAGCATTTTTTTGAACATGAAGTTTGGCTTCATCTGCAGCTGAAGCAATGGAACAGAAAAATATTCACTTGAACTGTTTTTGTGCTGAAACGCTAATAAAATAAAATCCTCAATTACGTTTGCTGTCCCGCTCAAAACGTTCGCAGGCTGATTGTGCCGCCAACTGGTGAAAAGAGTGTACTGCAACGGAAACGCAAACGGCGGGTGTGACGTTTCCAAACCGCACATATGTTCGAGAAGAAGAAAAAAAAAAAGCACGGAACGCCTTCAAACAAAAATATGACAACGTCTGAAACAATGATGACCTCACATTAAAATACTTATGATACCCACATGATCCAATGGAATAATGTCGCTTTTTTTAAGCCTAACATGAAAAGCCTTAAACAAACAGCTGTATGCAGGATGTTAGCCAAAAATGAAAAGACTCAAGAAGAAAAACTTCTTCTCCGGGATCTTGTCGGTGCATGATCAGCAGTATTGTGGCGCGAAGCAGCTGGAGTGTCTAGATGGGGGGGGGGATACCCCAAGACAACAACATGCTCCAATGTTGTTGTCGAGAAACAAGCGTAGGGCTCACATCATTCAAACATTTACAGTTGTCATAATGGCACAAGCGCTGAGGTTATAAAATCATGCTTAAAAAGTTTGGGGGCTGCTGATCTCTAGCATGGGAGGCACACCCCCTATTGGGATGCAACTGTTTCATTGGATCTTTTTAGTGTTCCCACGACAGTAGCCAGGAAACTGACCACATTTTATTAACTCAAGATGGAGTGAAGAAAAGGGAATGTTTCATCCACTCCACTCAAGATGCTGATGATAAAACTTTGCTTGGGATTCTATTGAGTGGTTGGCAAATGGGGAGCATGCAAGGGAACCACTAGTGTCCTCCTTTTTTGTTGTTGTTGCTTTTAACAATGTGTGCAGTTGGAAAGTTGCAAAATGCGTGTTTTGACAGAGTGACACAATAAACAGAAGCTCCTTCCAGTTTTTCAAACTAAAGTGCAAGTTCAACACTTTTACTGACACAAGTGATGGATGCTGTGACACACACACACACACACACACACACACACACACAGACAGACACACACACACGCACGCACACAACGAAACATTTTTTTCATTCACATCCTCGAGTGAAACGCTCTTACACACACACGACAGAAATCCATTCACAAGTCCTATTGAATGGGCTCGTTTAATTTCGTTAAATTCACTGTTTTAGGAGAAAATAGAAACATGATCGCCGTGACCTTTTTGCGGAACAGGATTAATTACGGTGAGGCCTTTTGTTTCTTATCAGACGAATACATGAACTGTTTCAACAAAGCTTTATGAGAGTGTGGCAAGCTGCACCAGTGAGCTATGAACCAATCAAAGTAAGGCAAACAGGCTTACACAATTTCCTCCTCGCTTCCGTGGGCCGGCTCGGGCACTGCGCTCGACGGGAGGCACTTCAGCGTCGAGCCCCCGTGACCACATCATCTTGAAAAAGCTCGCTCGCAACGTGTGCGCTACCGGGAGATTGAAGAGCGGAAAGCGCAACATGTGGACGCTGGCCCTACAGCTGGTCATCATTGGCGTGAATGCGCGGGTACGTGTCACCCCCTTCACTCAGTGAAGCGGATTAGAAAAATGGATGGATGAATGATTTCACTTTTTAAAATATTTATGGCCTAGAAGTGTTTTTCAGACAAATATTTGCCGTTGTTATGACTTTACGATGAGGTTCGTGATTATTAGACGTTCCAAGTTCTGATTCCTTGCGCGGTTTGTTTTCTTTCGACAGGTTGTAACGTGTTACCCGGCTTGTAAAATATATGGCCTCCGAGCCGCTTGTCAAGGACAGAATCACCGATGGGTGCCCGCTCTGCCGCCAAACATTACCGGCCTCTACTTGGAGATGAACAAAATCCCCGAGATCAACAGCACGTCGCTCCGAAATCTGGAGCAGCTGCTGGAGTTGGATCTGGGGAAGCAGTACGTGACGCTGGTGATTCGGAACGACGCCTTCCTCGGGCAGAGGCGGTTGCTTCGCTTGGTCCTGGGCGACAACGCCGGCCTTCAACTGGAGCCGCGAGCATTTACGGGGATGGTCAGTTTGAAGTCCCTCTTCATGGACCACTGCGGTTTGACGGAGGCCGTATTGGCGCGCAACTACCTCGAGCCGCTCCTCTCCTTGGAAGGCCTTAATCTCTTTGGTAACAGACTACGAAAACTAAAACCAGGCCTTTTCTTTCGAAACCTCTCCAAGTTGACGGAGATCAACCTCAAGTTGAATCGCATCGAACAACTATGCGAGGAAGATCTCGTCGGTTTCAGAGGCAAGTACTTCACATACTTCAATTTGGACTCCAATCACCTGTACGAAATGGCCGCTGCCGATTTCGACTGGGAAAGATGCGGAAACC